ATCCTATTTATGTGTTCACATTTTTTATTTGCATTTGCTCAACACGGTTTGATATTATATTTTCCTTGTGTTTATATTTTTTTGTTTACGTTTACTCGTTGTAACTTCCATGTCGCTAAGAATTTAATACAATTTAATACAATTAAAAAATATCACAATTGTATGTGTGTGTGTGTGTGTTTGCGCCTATTTCTTCTTAAACATACATGATGTCGTAAAATTATGTTCTATTCTTGAAACTTTTTTTATTAATAACTATTTAATAAATAACAATAAGCGGCTAAAACCTTCTGAAAGTTATTCAGAAAGATGACCTCGGGAAATGTAAACACAAAAATATAAACATATTTAGATAGTAACGAAAAGATGATACAAGTAAATATGAAACTTCAAAATTGCATATCTCAGGAACGAAGAGAGGGCGCCACAAAATTCAAACGGTGTATTACTTAGGAATGTGCCCTCTACAACATATGTAAAGATAAAAATTTTTCGAACTGTGTGACGTAAAGTAAACATTACCAAAATTATTTGTACAAGAAAGTATAACAATATATAATAACTTATATAATAAAGGGGAAATAAAAAATATAAAGAAAGTATAGATATATATAAGAGTAGTGATTACGATTACAATTAATAATGCTAGGGATCTTGTTTATATATAAGCATAAATAATAGAAATTATTCTCGTTATGGCTTATATTTAGCTGGTCATACTTTATAGTTTTCAGTCCTTGGATTGAAGTGTAGATAAAAGTTTCCATTAAAGGTGATGAAAGATAAGGATCTTCTAATTCTGAGAATTGTTTTCGTCTATGCGTTGAACTAGACTTATTTATTATCTTCAGCGTTAAAGAGCAGCACTCCTTTAATTCTTTAAAGATTATCTCGTTGGATTTAGATTTAATGTAAAAAATCCATAAATCCATAACGGTTAAAGTGCGTGATTAGATTGTTTATTTTTATTTTAATTTTTGCATTATTTTTTTTAATTTCTTCAATGTTTTATGATGTCTTGTATACTGATCTTTGAATCTTCTCGCTTTCGATCTCTTCAATGGAAATACTTGATTTTCTGATTTAAAATTTTGAGTGATCTGATAATGCTCTTCAGATCTGACAATGAGTTCTGCTTTGACATTATGAATATTTCCTTGAATTGCGTAAAAAGACTTTCTTGAAAGATATATTACAAAGTTTATTAAGTATTTATCGTAGTTTATTAAATTATCTTCTGGGACGAAAAACTTGTGTGATGAAACTCGTGCTATTTTATGAAAACTCATTTCATATAGAGTATGTTTAATTGTTTCGTATATGTTGATATTATAATTGAACGTCGTCAAATCGATCCATCTATTCCATTGTTTCTGTTCATTTGTATATTGTTTAAAATGTTCTATTATATGATTAGATCTTTCTAATACTTCATTTGATTGTAGATAAGAGGTACAAAATTTGTAAATTTTCAATAATTTAGAAATTTCCTTCATTAAATTATTAGTGGAAATTTTTTTCTGGATCTATTAATATCGCTTTTGATGCTTCAAGTGTACGAGTAAATCGGACTGCAAAAATCCTTGCGATAATTTTGGATTTCTGATGTAATAGAGATATTCTCATGCAAAATCCGGCAGATTTTATCAACTAATTTTGGAGTGTTAAAATATTTTTGCTATTTCTCCCGGTTTTTAGTGAAGATTCCGATGTTTCGAGTTATTTTGTTGAAAGAAGATTTTAATGTATCGGTGATTATCGTAAGCTGCTTTATTTTCAATTGCTTCTTCTTCTGTCATTTCTTTTCTTTTCTCATCCTTTTTCTTTACGAGATAGTTTTTATTCGGCGGATCGTTTCTTTTTTTAAGTTCTTTAATATTATTTTTTAATTTTATTGTTTGACTCCTTGTTTGTATTTTGTTTCGTTTAAGAAAACTGTGAATTAAAGTTTGTTCTGATATTTGTAATCCAAAAGATTTGCTTAATTCTCCGAATATAAATAATGCAGAATCAATATTAATATTGGATAAATTGCCTTCAGGTATGATATTTTCAATTTTCTCAGTATTCGAAAAACAAATAAAAATCATCCTTTTTTTCTATCTCGTTATCAATTCCTATCAATGTTCCATAAGTTGCTTCTGTGTCTTCTGGATTGTTTAGAGTTAAAATTTTCTTGGTTGTCATCATTTTATATTTCATCTCTTCGAGAGATCTATTAATTGAGTGATCACTCCCTAATAGATTGGAGGATTTCGGAAGATATTGTGACGCTAGTAAGCGTCGGAGGCGGCTCGTGTTCCACTTCATGATAGGCGCGACGTCTGAGATTTCGGTTAGTGATGCGGATGCGATTTCGAGGCGCCGATAGCAATCGGCAGAGACAGCGTTCTCACTATCCTCTGGCCTTTTTAATCTCTCTATGCTTCGGATTTCGCTCTGTTTGCCTTCGGACCAGTTTAACTTATCTGGAAGGATCGGTAGGATCTGTTCTGCTGTACTGCCGAGAGCCTGTTTTATACGCGGTTAATCATCCGCGCCAGCGTATTCGATAATTACCTAACCTAATCTGACCTAACCGACGGCGAATAAAAATATTCAAAACGTTCGGGTCTGTCCGGGAGAGTTCGAGGTGCCGATCGCGGGATCATAACCGCCGGAATCGACTCTCGACGGCAGCGTAAATAATCTCGCTCTTTCTTTGTCCTATCCGGTAGTTTACTAAAGGCCTTTGCTACGTACAAAAATTTTAGTCGTAACCATAAGATCATAAGAAAACAGACCAATCATAGTCGAGTATTATTTCTGCGATAAAAGAATAATTAACTGTGATTGGTCAGTTTTCTTATGACCTTACGGTTACGACTAAAATTTTTATACGTGTAAAGGCCTTAACGAAAATGGGCGCATCGCACCTCTGCCTTGGCCCAACCGATGTCGTCGGGCGGCAGCTTCCGGCCGGTGTTCGCCGGGAAAACGATGCATTTCGGGGTGCATTATAGAATAAACAATAAAAAATAAGGAGTTCTATTTAAAAAATTAAAGGTGACCTTTATGTGACTTTCAAATGATTGTTCAAGGTAAAACAAATAATTGCCACTATCTTATGTCCCCCTTAAAACCATAAAACTTTTGTCTGAAATATTTTTTTGAAGAACTTCTTTTCGAGATATCCGAGTAATTGATTGAAAGGGTCCACCCTGTATATACCTAATACATTGCTTATTGCAATAATATAACGTGAAAGTAACACATAATATAATGCATAATATAAGTTACATACTTATATAAAACAGCAATATATGTATTGTATGTATTATTTTACAACATTACAACAGTAATGCAACATTATACTATTACAATATAATATTATTATATACATATTTCTACACTTGCCGCTACGCGGTGAAATGAGACTTAATTAACTCGAATTTACAGGTATTAAGATCTAAAAGGTTCGCATATTCTGAGTCCTCTTTTATCGATGAAAGTACCTCTAACTAAAAGTGACTTATAAGTCTTCTAATTGGCTACAAGTCACTTTTAGAGGAATTTTTACCAATGAAAGAGGACTCAAAATATGGACCAAGATCTCTTTTTTGTCAGTTTTTGTATTAGTTTTTAATATAATCTCAAAAAGGAATGTTCAAAATATTAAATAAATTATTTAAAATTGGATGGACAAAAGAGAAATAATGCAATTACTACATATTTTAATAAAAAAATCAAGTTTCTAAATAAATTAAATCTCGAATCTTTTATAAATTAAATACACACATAATTTATTTATTCATTTTACTTAAAGAATTCTTTATATCATCAATATCATGTATGAACTAAAATTTTATATGGAATAACTACGATGTAACAACTATATAACATCTGTTACATTACATATTATATTTATGAATGGTAAATTATAATTATCCAGTAAGTTATCGGTAACATAAATGTATGTTATTTGTAACATTGCGTTTTATTGCTACTGTATAACATTAATGTAACAGTGTTTACTATATATATACAGTACCTACCAAAGTTCCAGGATCGAATATTTCATAAACTATGCACTTTAGAAAGAAATGTTTCAGACAAAAATTATATGGCTTGAAAGGAGCCATAAGATAGTGTCATTGGTTTGACTTTGAAAAATTGTTTGAAAGTCACGTAAAAATCACCTTCAATTTTTTAAATGAAACTACTTATTTTTTATTGCATATTCGTATAGCTTATCTCGAGAACTTTCCAAAACACTAAATAAAATATTTCTTCAATGAGTACTTTCCGAGTTATGAGGCTTGAAATAATTTTTCAATTTTACATAAACCATAAAATATCTAGTAAAATATTCATTTTTCGATTATCTTACCTTAATACTTTTCTGTAGAAAATAATAAAAGGAATCAATTGATGTAAAGAAAACACAGTTGTTTCAGAGAAAAAATATGTAATTTGCAATTAACAATATTTTTTCTTAAAAATAACTATGTGTTTTCTTTACACCAATTGATTCCTCTCATTATTTTGTGCACAAATATATTAAGGTAAGATAATAAAAAAAAATTATATATAATAAGATATTTTACGGTTTATGTAAAATTAAAAAATTATTTCAAGCTTCATAACTCGAAAAATACTCAATGAAAAAAATACTTTATTATAGTGTTTTAGAAAGCTCTTGAGGCAAGTTATAAGAATATGCAAAGATATATAGGGTGTCCAATTTAAAAAGTTGGAGGTGATGTTCATAATCTTCAGGTGACTCTTCAAGGTCAAATTAATGGCACTATCTTATGTCCCCCTTCAAGTCATACAACTTTTGTCTGAAACATTTTTCGATTTAATGCAGTGTTTCTGAGATATTCGCGTGTATTGATTAAAATGGTCTACCATGTATATATACAGACAATATATATATACAGACAATATATCGAAATATCTTGCTCTTAATCTTAATGACAAATGTTTATTAAAATTGAGATCGAAAAAGATATATTGAATAAGAATAATAATATAGCTCGTTTTATTTATATTAATATTACAACAAATGATATTGGATGTATCTGGGAAGACATTTTTACATCGATTAATACACATTGTCTATGCACTTGTATGCTTTCCATTTTCATTGTTAAAGGATAAAGCTAAATGTTAACCACAGGATTCTTTGCGAATTAAATATTATAAACTCATTTTGATGTATTTGCATTTGATGATTGATCGTTTTTTGCTGCATCGGAGCTTTTCTCTTCAATATTCTCGATGCTGCTAGCGGACGACGATTCAAGGTTCTGCGAGGAAAATTGGATAAAAAATTCGACAATTCGTTTTGCAATCTACAAGATAATTGCGTGCTCTTACCTGACGAGATAGATTGAGCAGACTGGATGGCAGTCTATAACTAGGTAAAACGTCCGGCATGGGTGGAGGAACCGGTGGTTCTCCGTAAACCTCATGAAGCTCCTCTAATCTTGTACAGAGAGCAGTACTTCGTTTACTTGTAGCATTCATCTTTTTCATAAGCCAATCAGCTTGCTCTTCCAAACGTTTCAATCGATCAGCTCGTGTCGCTAAGACTTCTTCCGGAGTTCGAATTTTCGTCGAAACAATTGCAAGTTCTTTCTGTGAACATGTCGCACTTTCCTGAAGCTCTTCCTTAGAAGTCGATGTAGATGGCGTAAAATCGAAATCGGCTATAGGAAATTCTTTAACAGTATCTAAACTCGAGGAGGAATCTATGGAAATACTGTCGGAATCTGTGATACTCTCTATTGGTCTCGGAGATCTCTGTTCCATCGGTTCTTCTTCTTGAGTCGATGACATTATTGACGAGGATGCAGCAAAGTTATCTGTAAAATTGTTGGATTCCGCTGCAGCTGCACCAAACATTGGAACAAAAAAGCGATTAGATGGGCCCACGATCAAAGGATTGCTGAACTGCACGCTCTTTATAGACGAAGACACAGATGACAGAGCGGATGTGGGAAGGGGTCCGATAGAAAAGACAGGTATTGTGCTGGTTGTATTCACGGTAGTGGATACGTGAGAAACAGCTGTCGACGGAGTATTTTCAAGTTTGATTATCTCACCATCTTGTAATTTTGACGAGTATTCGATCACAGTCGACGATGATTCGGACAATTCGTTATTATCCACCGCCGAAGGGAGATCAACACTTGTGGCCGTTCGTTTCAGAGTATGTGATGTAGGTGATGAACATGGAGATTCACTGGTCGGTCTCCAAGATTGTAAATTTTTGCTGCAGAAATCCATTTTCGAAATGGTCAAAGAATGATTGTTTTCCGTGTTGCTATTAGATTCAATAGCCACATCCTCACATGGATCTCCAAAGAATGAACAGGACAAGTTCTCCCCCGAAGCATTGCTCGATTCTCCATCATTAATTTTTATAAGGTTCTGTATAACGTTAGTAAGAGCCTGATCCAAAGGATTCAAAGATTCCTGCGTACTTTCCCCAATGCTCTGTTGGAAATAAAAATTCAACATTAATAATATAAAATATCCCAGATATTATTAATTGATTATTAATTGCAAATTACATATTTTTTTCTCCGAAATAATTATGTGTTTTCTTTACACCAATCGATTCCTCTCATTATTTTCTACATAAAAGTATTAAGATAAGGTAATCGAAAAATGAATATTTTACTAGATATTTTATGGTTTATGTAAAATTGAGGAATTATTTCAAGCCTCATAACTCGGAAAGTACTTAATGAAAACTAACTTAATTATAGTGTTTTGGAAAGTTCTTGAGATAAATTGCAAGAATATTTAATAAAAAATAGGCAGTTCAATTTAAAAAATTCAAAGTGACCTTCACGTGACCTTGGCACATTCACTTAAAGTCAAACTAATGACGTAATCTTATGTCCTTCTTCAAACCAAACAACTTTTTGTCTGAAACATTTCTTTCTAAAATACATAGTTTATGAAATATTCGACCGTTTCCAGACTTTTGGTACATCCTGTATATAATTACATATTTTTACAATTTTGCTTACACTAGCTTCCGCTATATTAACAGATTTTGCGGAGTCAACACGCACGATTTCTGCCTCGTCCAATTCTGCTTCGGTTTCTGGCGTAGGAGTACGTTGTTCTAAAGTTATCGAGGAACCAGTCTTTGACTCTGATAATTCGGTATCCGTCGGTTGTTCGGATTCTGTGTCTGGTGTCGGCGCTCTAAGACTCTCCTAACAAAAACAATATTATTGAATAATTGTTTACGAAAATTTATACGATTGACTAAACGAATAATATTCGCGCACCTTTCGTGTTCGTCTGCGCGGACCATGTCTGATTCTTCCTTCAATTGCCTCTTCCTCTTCGTCAGTATCGTCACCTCTTTCATCGCTGAACCCGCTTTCGGCACTGCATAAAATAGCCAAAATAAGATTCCAAAATTGTAAGACGATTTTGTTACATAAAGTGATAAAAACAACACATGATTTTATATTAATATATTAATATGAAATAACAATTAATAAATTTATCACTTGTCATATAAAAATATTTCGATATTAATAGAGTAATGATAAGTATGTATAATAAAAATTATGAATTTAACCTGTTAAAAGAGTCGCGAGCGGCCAAAGCTTTTCGTGCAGCAAATTCGCGACGTAAGCTTCTCCATTCTAATTCGGTATTTGTATTCTTTTGCCTGGCCGACTCCCATTTTTCCCTACAGTATTCCAACTCCTGTTTCAATTCCTGCAACATCTTTCTTTTCTCTTGCAGCTCATAACGTAGGATTTCCTCATGTGTGTGCAACTGCTGATGCTGCGCTTGCATTCGACCGACGATATTCCACGTCTTGGCTAATTCAGCCGATACCATGGAGAGTCTCTTTTCCTAGATGTCGAAGAAATGAGAGAAATTAGCTTTTTTTCGCTACGTAAAATAATTCAACAAATCGCTTACCTGCTCGCCCAGTTTACTCTCTAAGTGAGTGTTCAGCTGCTTCATGCGATTCATCTCCTTTTCCAAATGTTTCTTCTCCAGAATCAATTCCTTCAGACGAATGTACGTTTTGCTCACGGATATGACTAATCTTGGCCCGGCCGGAGTATCCACAGACTTGTAACAGCTATTTGGATCCGAGCAGGATGCAACGGAAACGCTTGGAGAGGTCACCGCATGACAGCTAAGTAACTCTAATAAAACGCGCCATACCTATGGCGTAATTTTAAAATTATTTTAACAAAACCAATCTGCGTAATAAGCTCTTTAAAAAGGCATCTAACCATGTAAGTTTTAATATCATTGTGATAATAAAATAAATGATATTAGATACGATATTAATATCATATCATTCAAGTTAGCAATCAAAAATTTAAGGAAAAATATAATTATACGAAATACGTAATTAATATTATTTTTCTTGTAATTACCTTAGGTAAATTATGAGCAATATCTTCTTCTTGCAGATCATCTTCTTTTCTATCAGCTTCGCTAACATTTCCTACGTTGTTTTCGTCATCCACCTGTTTTTGAGATGTTTTACCACCTTCAACTTGCTCGACCAAATCTAAAAGAAGTTTAGGAAGGGCCGCTGCCTCGGTACTTTCTTCCTTGGCTATATCACTTATAAGATCGTGATTCTCCTGCAATTTAAAAAAATCAAATCTTATTTTTTATAATTATTTTATTTTTTATTATCATTTTTCTTTATTCGCATCTTCTTTCATAAAATTTAAATTTTTTTTAAATAGAAATATATTAAAATATCAATTTTATCTTGTATTATAAATGAAAAGTGCAAATGATAAATATTGCACAATAATACCTGTAACAATTGAGTTAATCTATCAAGATCCATATCTGCGGAAGAAGCTCCGAGCAACATCTGCGTAAATAATCCATTAATAAGAGACATCTGATTCTGAAGATCTCTGCAGTCCGCCTTGGTTAATCCCAACTGAGATTCCAAATTTGTGATTTCTGTGTCTTGGACATCAACCTGCCACATGTAACGCCTTATAAGAATCTCGAACATAAATAATATATAAAATCAAGTAAAATCTCATTACCTTCTCTTCGGCTTTTTTGAGTTCCTCTTCTAGATTCTCGGATTTCTTTAAAGAGTATTCCAGCTTCTGCTTCACGTCCGTCAATTCCTTGATCGCGGAATCTTTTAATTCAGTCAAAACTCTCAGTCTTTCGTTATAAAGACTCTTCAACACGTTTATGTTCTCAAGTTGTCGATCACATTCTGCATCCGTATCGTCGCGGACTTCCAAAAAACTCCTGTCACCCAATCTAACCAATACCTGAGCCAAGTAATTCTTCAACTCGTTCGTCCGACGTTCTCGCGCGATGAGAGATTCGCGTTCCTTGTCGGTTACTTCCGTCAAACATCGAATACGATGTCGGTGACGCTCTGCATTAGTCTCCAAATGATAACGAAGATCATCTACTTTCTCGATTTGGCATCGTATGTCATTTCTCAACTCGTCAGATATCTATAAAATAAACACTTATACTCACAACAGATTTTAACCGTATTAAAGCGAACCATATTAAAATGAATATGGTTTTACCTTTAACGTGCTCGTTAATCTTCGCGCTTCCGCGCATTTCAATGCTTTCTCGCTTTCGTTCAAGCGCTTGTCCTCTCCTTGTTTCATCATAGACTTTGCGAAATTCCTAGTCTCGGGATCGAGATCACCATGAGCGGAACGCAAGAGAGTCAACATGCTTAATGTTTCGGAATGAGCTTCCTTTTCAGCGTCCAATTCTTTCCTAAGTCTTTCCATCTCGGACGAAACCACCGCAATAGCTCTATGTCTAGCTTCCCTCTTTAAGGTTAATTCTTTTTTAAAATCCTCTATGTTAGCGGAAGTACGATTAGTATTCGATGTACTCTCCGATATATCATCTATCGAGTCGACAGCATCTGTGACATATAAACATTCAATATAATTTTACGATTTAAAACACAAATGATCTTGAATTTGTTATTGATAATGTAATCAGGAAGAGGTGATTTTTGATATTAAATAAAATATAATAAAATGTAAAATAATATGTTTTTATATATAATGTTTATATGGATAATATGTGCTCTATATGTATAAACATACCGACATCTTCTTTCGGAGTAATGCTCTCCTCGTTGCTTCTTTCAGTCTTGATAGTTTCCTTCAGTCTTTGTATCTCTTGCAAAGCATTTTCGAGAGCCTTAATCTGTTTCTTTTTATCCGAGACTTCCTCGGCCAATTGTGCTCGTAACTTTGATGTTTTTTGATTTTCCGTATTTTTGATCTGCTCTTTTTCGAGCAGTGATTTCTGCAGCTCTTCTTCTAAAATCGAGATTCTTGCATCGGCAGTGTTTTTCTTCGACTGAAAGACATCGATCTCTTTCAACAATCCTTCGATTTCCCTTTTAGCGGAGTCCAAGTCCTTCGTCAGTTCGTCATATTGTTGTTTGCATTCGTGTAAATTATCTTCTACCGTTACATATCGCATTTTCAATTCCTAGATATAAAAAGATATATAATTCTATAATTATATAATTATATAATAACATTTTAATTGAGATAAAGATTATTAACATCCCTTCTTGGAATTTCAAAAATCAAAAGTCTTGAAATGTCATACCTCATAATCTACGTTTAATTTCTCTATCACGGTTTTCTGGTCCGCTAAATTGCACAGCAGTCTTTCGTTGGTACTTTGGTATTCCATTCGATCGATTTTTAATCTTTCAACTTCTTCCGATAATCTGAGTATTTCTTCGCTCGTCAAATTTCTCGTTGTCGAATTTTGCTCATCATCTTTCAATCTAGCACGTCTTCTACGCATTTTATCTATGTTCGCAGAATCGGAATTTTTATTTATCGTAGGAACAATTATTTCGAAATCATCGGAATAAGCATTACAATATCTAACATCAACCATTTCTTCTCTCGCGTTTTTTCTTTGATTATCGCCAGGTATTTTATTAACAACATCGAAAACGATGTTATTTGTTTGTTGCTCCGAAGATTCACAATGCAATTCCACGGATCTTGACTGGTCTTTTATATCTCGTGTCTTCAACAAATTCTCCAATCTTTCGATTCTAGATTGCAGTTTGTTATCTTGTCGCGAGTCTCTTTGTTTGGATTGTTCAACAGAGTTTTCCGCCAACAGTTTTTCCAATCTAATGACGCGTTGCTCCAATCTTTGTGCTTCTTCTCTCTCAATAATTTCTTCGGAGTCCGATAATCTTTTTTGAAAATCATCGCGTATCTCTGAAGAATTCGTCGAGTTCTTCCGATCTTGCCTATCCTTCGACAGCTCTAAATATGATGCTTCCATACGCGCTAGCGTCGCGTTATACACACTGGCTAACTGATGATTGGCCATGGCAAGTTGCGAGATGATTCGCGAAAGCTCCATGATTTCGTTATTCTGTTGATACATTGGGAAATTGTGATTATCGGTTGGCTGCCAACCTGTCATTTGTGTGGCGCACGTTAACTGCAACATAAAATAATTAAATAGCAGAGTCCGAATCTTTAGTTTGAAACATTAGGAAATATATAAATTAATTGTCATAAAAATATGTCTTCTTTAAAATTTAATATAAAAATTTAATCAAAATATTTTTTTACATCTCTTTAAAACTATCTGTGTGTATGTTGAAATCTACGTACAATAAACGATAATGTTGACGTCAACAATTTTTTAAATTTAACTATGACAAAAGAGCACGAACGATGAATCATCTGCCTTTGAACAAAGAAGATATAGAATATTTTCTTTCCTCTATTTCGCCAATTTCGAAATTTTAACACGCGCAAATTATTTTGCACAAGCTTACAATTTCTCGTAGAAATGGATTCTTTTGGCGCTGTCAGAATAAAAACTAATCCGCTCTCAACGATTCGCAATAGAACACTGGGATAAAACCACTGCGTCGCGCGAAGATCAAGAGACTGACCATGTGATCGCGATCGATGACTGTGGAAACAGTTTTTCGTGACCGTGAGTCAGCGTGTTCTCTCGAAATCATGGATTGGAAAGAAGCCAACTCGCATGACAGAAGCGGCTTCCGCGATACAAAACTGCGCGCTTTTATCCGGAAAATTGGCGCAATAACATTTGATTTTTTGACCGAGATTTGATTTAATCACAGTCTTAAAGAATTGATTGCACGAGAACAATCGAGACGAAGATAACCGCCGAATCGATAATCGCGAACAAAGCGTGCTCGTCAACTTTGTTATTCGATAGAAACGGTGCAAGACAATCATTTGAGAATTCACTACGACTAAAGTGAAAAGGAAAAAAGAGAATAGAATAAACGACAACTGTCTCACCAAGGTCTCGTGTTTTGGCGGTAGCATATTTGATAGACTGGATGTTGTTGGTCTTTGATCCCAGAAGTCACCTGTCTTCAAGGTAGCATAGGGACTCGGACCCTGAGTGTCAAAGTTGCAAATAAAAATTCGCTACGAAATATCCGTCTTTCTCTCTGGCAAGAGCAATGTACCTGCGATCGTGGCTGATCCTCATCTTTATAGCTCGTTCCGACATATGTTCTTTGTTCCTGGTCTTTCGTAGAGCAAGCGTCTTTTGAATACAAGCACGCTGCCATTTCCTGTTCGCTCGTAGAAATCAACATCGTCGAACGTGTCGAATCGTTACTACTACTTGACACTCCCATTATCTAACTTTTCCGATTGTCAGGATAATAAATATATGCACTCGGTTTTTCCTCTACAAATAATTTTCTTGATGTATAATTTCACGCAATATTGCTCTTCCTCTAGATGTATCTAAGTACGAATGTATGTATATTTTAAAGCGTTTCAAGATTATAACTTGAGAGAGAGCTCAAAATTTACTATAAAATTTTTAATACTTTTACACAATGAGTAAGATGTTTTCTTACATTTATTTAAATTAAATATTGATATGTAGATGTATGTACATAAGATTGCACAAAAAAAGTGTTGATTGTGTCAGCTTTTATTTTTAGAAACTAGTTTGAACTAAATTGTATCCCAACTCTCTTTCTCCCTCTCTTTAAGTAGCATTAAAAACTAATTAAGAATAGAAGAATATTTAAGAGCCTAGAATTTTTATACTCGACAAATGCTTTCAAAAAAATTTGCATAAATAAGGCCTTAATATATGAAGCTGCGCGTGTTATTATATTTAATAGCGGAGATCTCCCCCTCCTCTCTTCCCAATACTTTACTTTATTCAAAAGCGACAATAAAACAAAGGCAAGTATCAGATATATATAAGGATTTAAAATCTCCAAGCTTTAAAGTCGCTCACCAAAGGTCAATCGAAAAATCGTGAAATTCGTGGCTTCGGCTTCGAGGGTCAACGACGACTCTTGACTATCGTCATTGCTAGCGGGCAGCGACTCGCATCTCTAAAAATATCATTTCGAAAGACCGCCTGCGCAAAGTAGAGGATACATCTTTGCTTTGTGTTCCCGCGCAGACGCGCACGCAAACGTGCACGCATGTTTCCTGGGAAGTCAAACTTCCTTGATTTAAAAAAAAATTTGATATTCAAAATTTTTCTGAAAACTTTTTAGATCATACTGATTCGATCGTTACTAGAGGTAACGCGCATCAGATTCGATCTTTCCATCGAATTTTTAATAGAATTTAAAAAAGCAGTTTCGCGACAAATATTTTTGTTTCTATTGTTAAACATCCTTCTTAAAACATGTCATTTTGTTTAATTATTATAGATATTTAAATAGCTACGAAGCTTTTTACAAATTAGTTTTTCAAAAATAAAATGATAAGTATTTTATTGTAATCGCTTCTATTCTTATTAAGTCCCTTCTTGATACATTCGGTTAACAGAATCAACATCTATTTTAAGACCCTTTCAAATCTTCATACGGTACTCTGAGATGCTCTCGGGAAAACGTTCCAACAATAGCATCGCACGTATTCTATATTTAGGTAGTTTTTAGAACTGTTCGTTATCGTCATTGCTGTATACTTTTAAAAAGGAAGATCGAGAAACTTAATCTTTCATGTTTTATTCCTAATACTGGACACTCGATATCGTTGTATTAAATTGTTGAAAAAAATAATAGCCAATTCTAATTTCTTTTGTTAAAATTCCATATATCACAAAACAGATATCTTTGTATTCTTTTTTTTAGTTTGATCTTTTTTCATAAAGAAAAGCTTTATCAAAATTAAAGCTTAATAAATAATAAATATGAGATATAAAAAATGTAAAGATGTATGTTAAAAGAAATAAACTATGTGCATAAAAATAATACATTACATTCATTTAACCTTTCAAGTGCTATAGATATATATATCTCTAAAAAAAACCTTATAAAGATAAAAAAAGTACGCCAAGTACATAAAAAATATACTACCTTGTATGCATGTTTAATAAAAAAAAATTCCTTAAAAATAATTTACAGTAATTTTCCCTCAAAAATCATTTTTCTAAGAAATAAAACCTCAACAAATAATTTTCATTAAAAAATATAACAAAATAAAATATCAAAACTAAATATGAAATCAATAATTACTATTAGCCAAGTACTTAAGAGCAATTTCTAAATTTGATATAATATTTGCCATAAAATATTAATTTTATACAGTAGAAATATTATACATAAATTTTCTCTAAAAAATTAAAACGCATTTTATATTTATTCAAAGAAAATTTATTTTTAAAATATTTAATGAGAATTAGGATTCTTTTAATTCTTAAAATATTTTTTATATAATGCATATAATTAAAAAAAAAAGTTTTACGCAAGTTTTAAATCGCAGTCTTTAAATCGGGTGGTCTGCGATACCCTGTATATATCTAACATTTTCATCAACGTCACGAATTAGCCTTTAGCATAAATATTTCGGAAAGTATTAATATTTAAAAAAATAATACAACTTCACTAGTGCATAGAACTCTTTAGAAATTGCAATGATGTGTTCCAAATTATAAGAAAATTATTTCAGGAACGTTAAAATTATGATATTTCGGCTAGCGTCTCACTTCACTACTTATGTCTGGCGTCTCAAGCGATTTGCTTAATAAGTGTTACAATTCTTGAGCATAGAACTCTTTACGGAAATTAAAAATGAACTATAAAAATATGACTAGCATCTCACTTCACCAGTATTTATATGTCACTTCTTTACCGAAGAGATTTAATGATAATAATAGTTATTAAATTTTTTTAAATAATTTAAATTGCGTCTCACCATACAGGAAAATGTGCATTTTTGGGGCAAAAGAATAGTTTTAAAAAATTTTTAATTATTTTTATTATCAGAACTCTATGGAAAGGCATTGTACATGCTTGGAACTATACTAGAACTGTTTTAGACTAATCAGAACTCTAAGAAGTCGATCGGCGTCTCACCTTTATCCTCGTAAAAATGCGTTTTTCGGGTATAATAATTGTTTAAAAAAATTTCTAATTATTTTTATGATCAGAACTCTATGGAAAGGTATTGTGCATGCTCGGAACTATACCAGAACTCTTTTAAAATAATCAGAACTCTAAGAAATCGACCGGCGTCTCATGTCTGCGGGTACATATAGGGATCCGAGTGCCTTTATTTTATTTTAATTAATATTTTTTACTTTCAAAATAGAACTATCTTTACAACTCTAATAAAACTATGTATCTTTTGAATTCTGACAATTACTGATAAGGAAAATGTTGTAGGACAAAGTAAAACGCTGTATGAACTTTGCGTCTCAGTTTGTCCTAAGCTATTTTTATGCTTTAAAGGCCAGAACTATTAACTTAATTCATCAAGAAGGACTCTAGAACTATTAAAAATAAAGCCAGAACTCTCAATAATTGATGAGTTTCCACGAAATGAGACGCCAGCTTCACACATACTAGATTTTATATTTTTATGATACTCCAATTCTGAAATAGAGATTTAGAATCTGAGATTTTACCCTCAAGGGGTGGTTTTTAAAAATTGTTATTACACAGTAAATTAGTCTTTTTACAAGTCTTATCTAATGGCTATAGGTTTTATATTTTTATAATACTCCGTTTCTGAAATATTAGATTTCACCTCCAAGGGATGGATTTTAAAAATTGTTATATTATACGGTAAATTAATCTTTCTACTAGTTTTATTTAATGGTACAGTTTTATATTTTTGTGGTGTACTGTTTCTGAAATATTAAATTTTACCTCCAAAGGGTGGTTTTTTAAAAATTATTGTTATTGTATGCTAAATTAGTCTTTGTAAAAAATTTTAATTAATGGTGAGTCCTATATTTCTGCGATGCATTATTTCCGAAATATTATTTTTTATCCTGAAGGGGTGGTTTTTGATATTTGGTTTTATAAGGTGGTTTCTGAAAATTGTTACTATATGATAAATTATTTTTTTTTAATTTTATTTAACAGCAGAAGTTCCATATTTTTACGGTTCCGTTTCTAAAATATTAAATTCCATCCTGAAGAGGTAGTTTTGAAAATTATTACTGTATGATAAATTAATCTCTCACACGTGCGTACACACATACATATACATATCACACGTATGCACGCATATGAATTTGTCTCTTAAAATATTGTACATATCGAAGCAATAATCGTATACGCACGCTGAGGACAAACTCACTCTGCGTGTGTGCGTGCGAGCATATATATATATATATATATATATATATATATATATATATATATATATATACGTGAGTCTGAACCTGGAGAAAAACGAAAAATGTCACAATTCTAATGTTCAATTATCATTTCTTAGGATTGACTGCACCGACTTTATTCAAACTGGTCGCAATTGAAAGCTTGTATTCACATTATATAAGAAAATTGCCGTTAGATTTTTAATTACAGCTTTAGTTTCTGAAATATTTTAGTCGAAAGTTTATTTGACGTCAATTTGACGTAAAATTCCGGATAAGTTACTTGGTAGCACCGCGTCAAGAACAGTGACTTTCAATGCTCGGATTCAATTTTTTAATCAGTTTTTTATGTATTTGGCGTCGTGACGCTACCGCGTCGCTTGATGTATATGATATTGTTCAAAGAAAGTTATCGATAGATACAGATATAGATTAATAGACATACATGTGTTTGAATTTTTCGACTTATACTCTTGACAAAAATAAAAATTATCTAAATGTTTATTTATTATTAATATATTATATGTGTAATTATTAGTAGATTATATATGTTTATTATATATGTCAAATAATTAAAAAAATAGTTAAAATCAGTTAAGTAATTAAAAAAATTTATATTTTGTATATTTTTATATTGACAATAAAATATATTTAAAAAGGAAACGTAATTTTATAAAAATAAATTACAATCTGTAATTCTTTTTTATCAAGATACAAGTAATATCGAATATTACTTTATCGATGGTAGGTCAATTCGTTAGCGAATTGATTTACCGTAGATAAAATAGCACTCGTTAATATATATGGAGCAAGTTTCTTTTCGCTGATAAAAGATGCTGTCAAAGTATGTACCCATACAGCACAGGTAAATCCTGATTATGTACTCAGTATATCGCAAACGTAGATTGTGTATATCCCACTAATATCAAGAGACACGGTAGTGTCTTGAAGTCGAGTCATCATCACTCAGGCGCAAGACACACCGTGTATCTTTATGCGAAAGGTTAAGTTGCGAGTAATGCATATTATCGGTTCTCAATAACCGCTGAATCGATCAAATTCTTATTACGTTTAATCAATTGCTTGGGTTCGATTTATATAAGGAAAGTGTCTTTATTTTTGCTCTATGTGCTCTATAAGCAGAAATATAACGATACAAAGTCTCAATGTAAAACTTTTTGATTAAGAAACGTCACCGTCACCGTCGTGGCTACATTTTTCACATATTTTTCTTGTACGGTTCGCACGTTTGAAGAGGCGCTGTGTTCTCGTGACGATGAGAGATGTATAATTTTTTATCATGCGAGAAATTACCGACTGTAATTGGAATGAATTGATCGGCACATAATATACTTTCCGATTCACGCATGATGCGCATGAAGTGACAGAAAATGTATAGTTCATGTTACGCATATTATTATACATTTTCTGTCACTTTATGCGCATCATGTGTGAATCGGAAAGTACCTATAGATGTCAATTATTTGAATCGACCATGCATATCGAATGTAATACTTATCCAAATAATTGCTACCTATGTATCGATTAATTTATTGCAATTGCAATCACCCAGGTAGCAAGCACACGTCATTTTGATGTTTCAAATTGGTCATTCACTGATTATTCTTGACGTCACGAATTGACGTTTTTAAGACGTAAAAGTGACGATCTAACTGTCACAGATTCCTGACATCATGACATGTACCGCATTTTGATGTCTTTCTCTTAGCATAATAATATATTTAATAA